GAGATAATATTTGCTTGTTTGACCACATGAGTCAGTCACAAATATAGGCCGATGGAATTTAACATGTGCATATTGTCAGTGAAGTTGTTTTAAAGTACCTCAATAGGAGCATGTACATTCTGATACGGAAGGTACATAAACAACGGCTGGGAAACATCATGTTGATGGATGATGTCAACGGCTCTCTGGGCGAATGTGAACTGAAATGATAATAGCAATGTATGGCAATGGTCACACCAGTTAACGACGCGCCGAGGATTTGGCAATGTTACAAATAATATGTATTTTGTAAAGTAATCGTGATTGTTATAAAACTTGTCCATTACAGTTACTGACAGACAAAGTGCATACTTACGGCAGAATATACGCCTGAATAGTTTCTTGCAGGTAGCAGATTGTCACTGTAGTCTAAGGAAGGATCCCACCCTGATGAAATATGAAATATTTAGACTATTGTACATCTGCTTACATGTTCATGGATGAAACTGAAATCTAAATACACGATATCACTTTGAGCATGCTTCCCTAAATACCCCAAAGCGGAATAACACGCACCAGTAGAGTGATTGTAGTAGTCTTCAGCCGCATTATAATAGCCAAAGTAAGTATCGAAGCCTCGGTACGTCGGTGTACACTCCCACTTGCAGAAACCCAGGTGCCATCTGAAATAATAGTGCACATTATGCACATATATACAGTTTGATTTTTTAAATGCGACTTAAATATAATTCTTTTTGTACGTTGGTATATCTGGGAGTGACAGTCCTTACCACACTCACACATCCGAAACCAAAATGCCACGTTAGTAGACATTAAGGAATGCGTGTATATTTGTTTATCTAAGAATGACAACTGTTCCCGCATTCCCACACCGATGTGCCGCACTACAATGATAGTGCACATAGTGAATGTAGGTACCTAAGTGTATCACAGAATGGCAATGGTTCATCTACAAGCACAGATACTGGTTTAATTAATGCTGATTATAGTGTACAATGGTACCTACTTTCCGATCATGTGCGTAGCGTAGCCGAGTTTCTTCAGTTCCTGGGGCAGGAAGGTATAGTTGAGGGGCACACACACTGCTTGGCCAGGGAGCAGTACCTCATGCTGAGTATGGATATGTCTTTGTCAGATACTCAACGTGAAAGAAAACAGCCTTCCCATTTACGTGCATTCCTTTAACCCCATAACACTTCAGCGTACATAATTTAGTCTAGACCAGACAATCCAGTGATGAACACAATCCAGACATCATGAACATCGATTTACGTAATTAGAAAATGATAACATCCAAAGAGATGAAGTCGCCGAGCCAGTTTGTCACCTATCACGAAAAGCATAGTTTGCGGCGGTCTGATATTTTTTCACAGAATCCCCATGGCTGCTCATGCATAGTAAGATGAAAAATGAGTCTTTTCTCATGAGGAACAAAGCCACACAACTTTACAAACTGCCATCGTGGATATATTACAATCTGTGACTGTCTGATCATGACCAAACAAGTGTAAAAGCCTTTTGTTTCATAAATATCAGTTGGATACGCCTAATATGAGAAGACATGAAAAGGTATTTTATAGAAATCACTTTAAGCCTGAATGAGAATTTCGAAAAGAAAAAAGAAAAGTCTCTGTTGGTATAGGCAGTACAAAATTGACATTGTCCAGAGGAATAGGAAAATGTTATTATGATACACAAAATATGTCAAGTACAGGACGAGAAGTTCAAGTCCCTAAATAACCTCTCAACTGGATCAGCCATTCCAACAGAGCTGAGTACCTTCTGGTAAATTTGATTCGTACAAACCATTGAGTGTATTGAGATAGTTTGATCAATCAAACAGCCGAATACTGCACGTGGGTCCCGATGGTCCCTAGTAGTATTTACATCATGTTATTATTTGATGATCCGAACACCATCAGAATTGTTATTTCACATTAGTTTTAAACCCAATCTACTATGTGTTTTTAGTTATCTTACAGTCCATTATCGGCGGTCGGGTAGCTCGTCACGCCAAAGACCCTGGTTCGATTCCCGACATGGATACAATGTGTGAAGCCCATTTCTGGTGTCCCCCGCCGTGATATTGCTGGAATATTGCTAAAAGGCGGCGTAAAACCATACACACTCACTACAGTCCATTATTGACATGTCATTAGAAAACATAAAGGGTTATTTTTTTCTTATCACAATGTGACTGAAACAGTGGTGACGTGACAACATATTTGACTATCTCACTCAGGATAACATTTAACAACATGTATGTAGTTCATAGATAATGTGCACTGGCCATGTTTTTTTTAAAACAACGACATTTTTACCTGCATGCCTGCGTGGAATGGAAACATTCCACTCATAAAGGAAGTACGGGATCTGAAACAATAAGTGTATTGATGCTTGTGTCGTATTGCAATGAATAGCCTGTTCACAGCATCCCAAACACGCCGCTTTGGCAGTGGTCATGAGAAAATATGATTTTGGTTTGGCTTGTTTTTTTACGCCGCACTCAGCAATATTCCAGCTATATGACGGCGGTCTGTAAATAATCGAGTCTGGACCAGACAATCCATTGATTTACATCATGAACATCGATCCACGCAATTGGAATCGATGACTTGCATCAACCAAGTCAGCGAGCCTGACCACCCGATCCCGTTAGTCGCCTTTTACGACAAGCATAGTCGCCTTTTACGGCAAGCATGGGTTGCTGAAGACCTGTTCTATCCCGGATCTTCACGGGTCTGAGAAAATATGAAAGCCAAATGATACCTTTGACGTTGGCGACATTTCCAACATAGGCAGTTCAGCAATTCACAACTTAAACCAGTTCGTTCTCCAATTTTATCCGTTAATTTTTTAATCATGTGATTCTCAATTAGAAATGGCAACACAGTTATCACAATTTACATCAACAATTTATGTGGTACCTTTAAGGTTATGTCTGTTGAGAGTTATTCAATTTCAGTAATAACACAATTGTAAGAAGTAATATATACATAAGAATATGGTCGTTCTCCTAATTCATTATTATGAGGCTGTGGTATACAAAATAACACGTATTTACGGGCTGCACAGAGGCTGGACATATGCATTTTCGAAGATGATTCCCTCTGTGGCCAGTTTGTCGATGTTTGGGGTTATCATGTCAGGATTCCGGAAACCAACATCATTCCAGCCTGTACAAACACACATTTCTCTGTGAAAAATTAGCTATGCAGACCCTACAGGACTGTCATTATCTCCACTTGGGATAAGACACATTGAGAGTGACATAATGTTTAAGTATGTATTTCACATTAACTCACTTTGCTATTATTTGCAGTGTGTGCGCTCACCTAAGTCATCTGCCACAATAAACACGATGTTAGGACGCTCTGCCGATGACAATGATAATAAATACAGGAACAGGGCAAGAATTTCACGAACCGCCATCGCGTGTGCCTGTTGAGCAGAAATGAGACAGTGTTCCACTATCAGCTTACATTTTAACCTTCCAGTGTCTAGACTAGATTGATAAAGCATATCTACATCTCAACCTTGATCTACATATTTTTGTACTTACATAATCCCGTTGTTCAAGCTTTATCAATAAAGTAGGATTTAACACATTTCGTGAGATTTAGGGAACGTTGCGAACGTATAGTTACGTGCAAGAATTGATATGTAACAGTTTTAAGCATAAGTTCTCTCATCATGAGCAACAGAATGTTAACAACGAATGTGACATACGTTCTTCATAGATAACGAATATATGTTTATTGTACACATCTGTAATCTTCCGTTACTGTAGAACGTTCCTACTTACATAAAGGTCATAAAATACAATTCATAATTCAGAATGTGACACTGGTCAGGTCCTCCTGTGAACCTTCAAACTAAGTCAATGTGTTTGTTGTTTATTGACGTAATAGGCTATGATATCCTGTATATGTTGCCTGAAGGAGAATACTTGGAGAGTGTTTGGTTATCTAGTGTGGGAATTTCTTAATTATGCAGTGTTTGGAGAAAACAAGGTGGTGTCCTTGGGTCTTTGATATTTTATGTATAGTTCGAATTCAGGTACATCCCTTGATCGTTACCTTTGTACATACGACTTATGCCTCTATAATTCGTGCATAGGTTAATAGGCTTCTAATCTTACCTGGAATACACTGGGACCCCTCGATCTGTGACACATGAAGGCAAAATTAAAGGAAGGCTGCGTGATTAGCCAGCTCATTGTTGGGGTTGTGAAGATGTAAACCTTTGGATACGATGACATGCATCAACCAAGTCAGCGAGCCTGACAACTTGATCCCGTAAGTCGCCTGTTACGTGAAGCCTAGTCTCTCTTCACGATAAGCCTGGGTTGCTGAAGACCTATTCTTCCCCGGATCTTCACGGGTCATCATTGTAAGTAAATCCGCCTTTCTTTCAATTAGGGGAGATGGCTTGACGTGGCATCGGACGATACCGCTACCGAATCATCAGTAGTTGCCGTCATCTAGAAGCTTAATAGGCCGGGTCCGTGCTGAGGATATATTGTTCTAAACGATTTTATCTGTAAATTGTTACTCCAGCAGCGAAGGATAGCAACAGATGTAGGTAGCTGTAAGCAGTGGTGTACAGGTAAAGATTTGGTTCTTGAGAATAATATAAATGGAGAATGAATGCAAACTATAGACCTTCAAGGACTCATCTGGCATTGTGGGTAGTTCATTTCGGTGGACACCAATAATGTGGTTCACATATTACACAGGTAAATCCAGTCAGAATGATCTAATGACACCATTTATCACAATGATAATCTGAATGGTGTTGTATCGTCAGCGGCTACCTAGGTTCCGAGGCGAAATGGCCAAAAGTGCCAAAATGTACCACGTAAATATCAGAACCATACTCTTGCTGGTGGGTTGCAGTAAAGTGCCAAAGCATGAAACAGCTACTTCTTGTGTCACATTAACAGTTCAAAGTGACGTTCAACAAAACTCGCCAACTGTATCAATGAAATAAAGACACCGGATATTGACACCCATTTATTTTTCAAGCGATGCAAAATTCAAAATGAATTTCAACCAACAAATTCTCATGTAGCATTTCAGGCAAATGAATTTGAACCAACATAGTGTTATAGTTACATGCTACTTTATTCAAATGGTATTCGAACCAACATTGTCAGAGTAAACTTGACACAAGTCGAAGATCAACACCATCCGGGGCTCCAAGCTTTCCCAAACTTTCTGGGGTCAGATGCAGGATCCCCATGAGGGAAAAGGGCGGGGACCATCTGCTTCCGGTAGTCATCAATTCGCGCTCTTAGTTTGTCAACAATGTCCGGCATCTTTGCTGCCAGATCGTTATGCTCAGTGGGATCCTCTGTAGGAGGAGAAGGGAATATTCATAAGATGGTCCGCATACGGATGGTTGACATGTTTAACCAAATACTTCTCATATGTCTATCAGAATTAAGCAAGGTGAATCATCCTGATAATTTTACAAATTGTTAGCAAAATAAGTTAGATAAATTAATAGGTAACTATTTATGTTCTGCACCTACCACGTATGTTGTACAGATGCACTGGGCTATCGCCTTTGGCATATATGGTGTTCTCATATCTATCATTCTTTGTTCTGTTCATAGGCTCGTGCCAGCCATCCGGTCCACCTGGGTAGCCCATTATTAGCTTGTAGTCTCCAACCCTGTCAACAACCAATACCACACAGGATCACTTCCAGCACCGTCTGTAGTTCATAATATGAAAGGTTCAATATGAATACATGTTGGGAAACATTATGTAATGCATATCCATGGTTAAAGTCCAGCTCCAGAAATCTTTGATCGCAGTGTAGATATTTCTCTCAAGTGTTCGTTATGTGTGTTGAGATATAAACTGCTCCTTCTAAGTTTCTGTATCCTAATACCTGAACTAGTTACCTTATTCCAGCATGTCCTTCCATTGCAGGCTCAAAGTCGTCCAGATTGTATATGAACTCGGTCCTTGACGATGGAAGGCCATTCCTGATAGAATCCCAGTGGCTTATACCATCGATTGACGTCCCTACAATATTGGTGGATGTAACTGATATGTTTATATAAAGTAGAGTGAATGTAAATAGACTACATGTTTTGTCCCTTCAAATTAAGGTCATCGCATTGAAAAGCTTCACATTTACTCATCTATTCTTTGAGATAAAAGATAGAAAATAAACATTTCCAAAGGGGAGATACAAGTAATGTTATTATAGATAGTGTACAAGTGTGATCGCTGTACTCGGTGAATCTATTGCTGTGCGAGGCTTATTAACATTGCTAAAGATAATCACTCTGGACATAAGGTTGAGGCATACTCTTAGATACATACAGTTGCAAGGCTATTGGGTTAATGTAGAAGCCTGTGTGACAAGTGAACACGTGCGTGTGGCTGACAGATGTAATGCTTTGAGAGAATCTTGGTCCCGTGAAGACTGATCTGCAGCAACCCATGTTTGTCATAAGAGGCGACTGAAGAGGTCGAGTTTCAGGATTGCTGACTTGTTTGATGGGAGTCATTGTATCCCAGTTGCGTAGATCGATGCTTTTGATGTCAGCATCTCCATTGTCTGGTCCAGACGCGATTATTTACAGACCGTCATCATATAGCTAGAATATTGCTGAGCGTGGCGTTAGACAAAAAACGAAAATCTAAGAAGGAAGTTTTTTTTACCAGGCGTTCCACCAGCTGCTGACACCAAGGTGGGCTTCCAGTCTACAGCATGCATCATTCTGTAACAACATGGGTCTGCGATACTATCCAATCTCTTTAACCAAACATCTTTAAGTGAGAGAATCTTTAATAAAACTTTCATCTCCTTTAGAAATATAACTTTCTTCTCAAATGTACAAAATTAAAGTCATGGCACTAACGAACCCATTATAAGTTGTCTTGGTTTTCTTTAGTCCGGTGCCATACATGAAGGATGCCCCCCTCGTGCCTCCCTCCCAGATCGTGTGCTTCCCTCCTCTCAGAGGCCAGTTGCTGGCATAAGCTTCAATAGGACCGCCATTCTGGAGGGATTTTAAATTGCTCACACTGAATGAGTTATTATTCAGAACTATCTGTTTCACAGTATAATGAAGCTTACATGTTGGTTGGTTGGTTTGTTGTTGAACGCCGCACTCAGCAATATTCCAGCTAAATGATGGCGGTCTGTAAATAATCGAGTCTGGACCAGACAATCCAGTGATTAATATCATGCGCATCGATCCACGCAATTTGGATCGATGACATAAATCAACCAAGTCAGCAAGCCTGACCACCAGATCCCGTTAGTCGCCTTTTACGACAAGCATAGTCACCTTTTACGGCATGCATTGGTTGCTGAAGCCCTATTCTACCCCGGATCTTCACGGGTCGAAGCTTACATGTAATTGATCTGCACAATCAATAACATAAAACCACCGCCGTTCGGGGTATTTGTATGATTACCGATGATTGATGATAAACGACATTTTGACTTCCTTTTCTTTTTTATGAGTGTATTTTGTATTCTCAGTATGTCTTTCCTTACATCAGCTGTAAACAGAATGAGCGTGTTTTCAAACAACCCCTTCTCCTTAAGTGCCTTTGTTACGTTCCCAACTGCTTCGTCGAGGGCAGACACCATTCCTATAAAGAGACCATATCTGCATAAATGCCTTTATGTAATAACCTATTAAGCATTTCGTTACAGGAGAGTTTATGTTCACTGAAGAATCAAAGCTCATATAAGGCACAAATGAACAATTTATCACCTGTAGCATTAATAGGTGAGGTGAGGTGAAATTGGGTTTAACGTCGCGTCCAAGATTATTGCACTTATATAGCGACGTGCGTGCACGTGTGTGTGTGTTTGTGTGGCTGCTTGTACTAGTCCGGACTGATGCCGATTTATAGTGCTGGCCCACTCAGATACCATGCCGCAGTTTAACATGAACACCCCACTCAGACACAGTTACTGACTCCGAGCCGACCAGTCCTTGTTTTAGCCCCTTAATGCCGAGCGCCAGACAGTGTAACAACAAGTACCATCTTTTAACGTCTTTTGGTATGACGCGGCTGGGGATCGAACCCCGGACCTTCCGCTCTCCGGGCGGACGCTCTACCACTAGACCACGGAGGCGGTGTAGCATTAATAATATTCATCTGAAGATGGAGCCCTGTTTGTTTCTGTATCATGTGGTTCTGGCTGTGAGTGATTCATATTGTGTAATACAACTATCACAGTTCAAACAGGGGCGGTCGGGTAGCCTAGTGGTTAAAGCGTTCGCTCGTCACACCGAAGACCCGGGTTCGAATCCCGACATGGGTACAATGTGAGAAGCTCATTTCTGGTGTCCCCTGCCGTCATATTGCTGGAATATTGCTAAAAGCGGCGTAAAACCATACTCACTCACTCACAGTTCAAACTGGATTTAAAACGTTAGTTTATGTAATGTGTTGGTTCCAATACTTTCCTTCAGTAACTATTCTGAGGTTGATGCTTTGTATCTATCACAGATCATACACAATATCAAGGGGTATTCACATTTCATACTGATATTCTTGAAATATGGTACTTAAGTGTAACCAATAGCATAAACGTTAAGAAAATATATCTTAACAAAATAAACCATATGATATATTTTGCCATTCGATCCATTTTGGTCACTTCATAACAGACTGTCTGTGAGGTGACGTCGGGTTTTAACGTCGCGTTCAGTATTATTTTACTGAAAAAGCCACGAGGAGGCACATGTCTGTGACTGTTTGTACTAGTCTGGACATATAGCGATTAATTCGGCTCACCCACTGGTATATATTGCCTTAGTTTAACATGGATGCCCCAGTCTCACACAATATACTCCAAGCCAGCAAGTATTTGTATCCCTTGAATACAGAGCCGCTTGCATGGATACGAGTACCTATTTTAAGGGTCATTTGCTATGACGCGGCCAGGCGATCGAACCACCGACCTTCCGCACTTTCAACTACACCCCGGAGTTGGAATAGGCAACACGTGGAGAAAATGTATGTGCAATCACAGTCAGAAGAAATTCACAGTACCTGAATATGTCCTGCGACCTTGGTTTATCACATTAAGATACATGTTGAAGTACTTTTCGGGAACCTGAACGTAATATGATCAGCGAATAAGAATATGAATCTGCATGATCATCAAAGTAACTGACAGCTCTAGATCTGGTGCAGCTCTCTCCATGGAGAGACAAACATTTTAATTATTAGAAGGTTTTTTTCTCAAGACACATTTTCAGTGAAAGGTACATTGCTCAATTGCTACATTATACTTTTCATTTTGGCTATTATAACACAAGATACATTTCCGAATATAACAAGGGTATGCAATGTGTATGCATGTGCAATCAAGTTTGAGACCTATCTTTATTCTTATAGAATTATTTTTCCAATCGGATTTAAAAGGCCTAACGTACGTTGCAGGTTTTGTCCTGTAAAGAAAGCAGTTAGTTTTACCTCAATGGGACCATGTACATTCTGATAGGGCAGGTACATGAACAGAGGCTGGGAGACGTTGTGTTGGTGGATGATGTCAACAGCTTTCTGGGCGAATGTATACTGAAACAGAGAGACAACAAGAGTACATCAGATATAGTGTCGCTCTTTTCTCCTCCCCTTCAACGTCGGGAAACACTTAGCATGAAGTTGCATATGTTTTAGTGGTAAAAACGTTGGCTCGTCCCTCGCAAGGCCAGGGATCGATTCCACATTTTGGTAACAATGCAGAAAGCCCATTTTTGGAGTTTAGTGTCCCCCGCCGTGATGTTGCTGGAACATTGCTTAAGACAAAGTGACGCTCATGATTAATTCAAAGAACAATACAGAAGGGAGTCCCTGTGTAATTTGCCATAATATGATTTTAGTTTCCGTGATGTTTGACACTGCAGTTAGCAATATATCTCGGATTGATCATTGCTGTCTGTAAAAATTAGGATCTGGGCTAGAGAAGTTAGCTGTTGATATGATGTGGGTAACATGTCAATTGTATTGGTAGAAGATACATGTCTGTAAATCATTGGTCGAACAGTCGTGTCGTTTGCACTAAGCACATTGCATAAACACAACATGCTTACCCAGGTCATAAACGTTCTTGTTGATTTTGCGAAAAGGAGTTTGGTCAAGAAAACAAAAAGTTGGATACGGAAAAAGAATCACATAAGCACAGATACGCAGTGCATTTCCAAGGGTGTGGAACATTTTAATCTTTATTGACGCTGTCGTAAAGTATCGATATATTTAACTGGTTTCGAAACTGTTTTTGCACGTTACTCACAGCTGAATACTCTCCCTTGTAATCCCAAGCAGGAAGTTCGTTATCCCGGTAGTCTAAATAGGCACCTAGGAATATATCAACGAACACTGATATCCACAACGTATATCCATACATCACACCTGGGCATCTCATATAAAATATATATTCCAGGCTGTTGTTGCAAACATTTAAACGCAGTCATGAAGTACCTACGAAGTGAGAAGGAAATTGAGTTGGATTGAATGTCGCGCCCCCGTTTATGAATTAACTCACACAATTTATTATCAAACAGATACTAGTAGTTATACTCAGACATATATTCGTAGTTCCAGGAAATCTGCCGAACAATTATGGGAAAGCGTTTTTTTAGATTTAGTGTTAATCAAACAACCACCTGCCAGTGGCAAATATGCATAGACAAGCAATCTATAAAGTAATCCCTTCTAACATTGAATACAATCAGAAGGTCCATCAAAATGCGTTTTAAGCAGACATGCATCAGTAACCTGTTGCACACACGACATACATGACCCATAATTATTAATGTGTAAGGAGGATTGTTATTTTAAGTTCATTGAGTTCATCGGTACCAGTTTGGGTATCCACTATCAATAGCTTGTGTCATTCTTAGTTGATCCTTGGATGGACATTTCTCCGATTTTACCAGCTACCACAGTTCGGTGTGCAGACATGTTGATTAGGAAAGAGTTTAATAAAAATGGTCCAAAACAAGTGATTAATTGGACTGGTTTTAATGGTGTTTAGTGAGTTGGTAGTTGTGCACTTGCCCTTGCTATGATTGAAGTAATCCTCCGCTGCACTGTAGTAGCCGAAGAACGTATCAAACCCTCTGTACGTCGGTGTACACTCCCATTTGCAGAAACCAAGGTGCCATCTTGAAAACATTATGAAATGATGGGAGATTGTTGTGCAGCTAAGTGAAACATGAAACTGCTTCCGATATTGTGAAAGTTTGACTCGATCAATTATCAATTATTACAACTCTTTGCTGTCATAGTGGGCATCATATCAATTTATCTGCCTTGCTGTAGCGTATCTGCGATTCAATTCATCCATGGACTGATATATAGTTCATACTGATTACGTCAGACATGAAACGTTGTATCAAAATTCTTCAAGCGTACATACACACTATCTTCAGAAACATATAGTATTGCTGGACATACTTGCCGACCATATGGGTAGCATAGCCGAGTTTCTTCAACTCTTGTGGCAGGAAGGTGTAGTTGAGAGGCACACACACAGCCTGAACATCGCTCAGAACATTGTGCTGCGATGTAAAATGTATACGTAAGACTTTATACATCACAATAGACATTATATCAATGGCACTCTTGACTAAGGGTGATCGTACTCCACCAAGGGAACAGGTGATTCAAGCCTTAGGACGTGGGTCTTTAGCATATATAAAGCATACTTTGAAACAAATAATAATTATTTTATTAGGAAACAAATATAAAGTTATAATGTGCTCTTTGGAAATAATTATTGTGTCTCAAAGATTCATTTTTTTAAATATTAAAAACAAATATCTGGTTTTGCAGCTGTACCTAAAAATGTATCTGGTCTCGATACAAAATCCCAGTCCCCCCAAGAATATTAAGAATATTAAGTTTAATGTGCTTTTATGAGGAGACCCGTGAAGATTCCGGGGTAGAATAGGTCTTCAGCAACCCATGCTTGCCGTAAAAGGCGACTATGCTTGTCGTAAGAGGCGACTAACGGCATCGGGTGGTCAGGCTCGCTCACTTGGTTGAAGTATGTCATCGATCCCAGTTGCGTGGATCGATGCTCATGATATCAATCACTGGATTGTCTGGTCCAGATTATGGATTATTTACAGACCGCCGTCATATAGCTGGAAAATTGCTGAGTGCGGCGTTAAACAACTAACCAACCAACCAACTTTTATGAGGAAGGGGAAACATTTTACTTCACTCACCTGCATGCCCACCTTGAATGGAAACATTCCACTCATGAAGGCCGTGCGAGACCTGTAAATCATCATAGGCGATAGAGGACGATGCTGTATCTAACATTACACATACCAACAACGAAAGTGACCATGCTCTTCTCAATCTCATCTCGAAAATCCGTCTTTTACGGCAGATATATATTTCAAAATTCAGTATCCAAGATAGATCATTCTAGAAATACATTTTGACAATTTGTATTCATACGTCAATTTTAGATGTTGTGGTGACTTGTAGGCGGAACTTGCAAAGTTGGGATACGAGTGTCTTATATCATGTAAGTATGAGTAATGAAAACGAACACAAATGATATTTACGGGCTGCAGTAAGGCTGGACATAGGCGCTCTCAAAGATGATCCCCTCTGTCGCCAGTTTGTCGATGTTAGGAGTCTTCATGGTTGGGTTTCGGAAACCAACATCGTCCCACCCTTATTGTAATTGAAGGTGACAGGATATGATTTGAATGTGTATACAACATTCAAAAGTAAAATAGATTAGTTTTAACAGAATATTTTTTCTCTCCATGTTTAAATTAGATGTTAGCCTTCTGAGTAACACATTTTGGTACTAACTGATCTAATTGTCTTACCATTACAAGTTCACATGGATACCACACAGAACTTAAGCCCGCAACTGCATGAGAATGAACCCCATATACGTAAAAGAAATATTATAATGAGTGAATGAGTGAGCTGGGTTTAACGCCGCTTTTTAACATTATTCCAGTTATATCACGGCGTGTCAGCTTAATATGGGAGGAAAGCCCGAAGTGATGCAGGTCTCAGACGTTTACTACTTCGGTGAAACCCACGAGCAGGGGTATGGTGGTGACAAACCTAGAAACATAAGCGGGGTAACCGGGATTCGAACCCACAATCATTGGTTTCTGGCGTGCCTAAGGGACGCAACTCTAGACAGCGAATCGCGTCGCCTTACACGACTGGGCCACCCGTGCCCCCTAAATATTACAATGAAAATCTTCGACAATGTGAACGTGATACTATGTGTTAAATATTTCCTCATTCGATTCAACAGCCTAAAACCTTGTGGTTGCATGTATTCGGTGAGAGTATGAATATATTTACTGGAAGAAAACAAAATTTGTTGCAGTATTTTAAGCAAATTGTAATGCAGATAGTCAGTCCTTGAGTCAAGAACTGTACTATTACCTACGAAAGCCTACGTGTTTCGATCAAGCATGCGTGACAAATGTGTGTTAAGAGCCTGAAACAGATATGTAACGCTGTTAGGGATGAACGATGTTCGTCATCACATATTCAACAGACTGATGCATATACTAGTATATATCTGTTGTTGTGTGTGATAATCTAGTCATCTGACATCAGAATAAGATCTAACAGAAGTGCAGCTCAGGCATTACGATTTCTCGTCATCAGATATGTTCTATCTGGTAAAGCATGTGAATCTGTTTTATCGACATATCTAATGACCCTGTATGAAAATGTGATAATCCTGCATCAGTACAAAGGCACTTCATCTGTAAGATAAACATACTCACCTAAATCATCTGCAACTATGAAGACAATGTTGGGGCGCTGTGTTGCCGTACAAGACACAAGAACTGACAGGAACACAAGGATGTACTTCCCCTCCATTACACCGGCCATACAGAAGTGATTACACCACAGAGGTCCTTGTCACATTTATCACGCGGCCTTCGCTTGCTATCAGGTAGATAAATATACACGTATATGTTATGTGAACATTAGCATGATGGGTAGCCTAAGTGTGTCAATATGTCAATACTAAATTTATTCAATTGACTCATGAGTACGTATATAGTTTCCCATCTATAGCGTTAGCTCCAGTTCAAACTTCGCCAGCCATAACGTCACATGCAATCATAGTTCTACGTATGTAATGTCACACCACATTTTTTCAAAATACATTTGAAGGTCAAAGATGTTTGCATTATACGTACGAGGGAGGTTTCAAAGTGAAATGGATTATCATGTTTACTGCATATATTCAGCACAACTATCAGACAGAAACCAGTTTGTGGTTACATGTTGATGATGATGATGATGATGATGATGATGTTTATATTGCGCCCAACTCTTTTCAAAAGGCGTATGCTCAAAGCGCTAACATTATTCCCCTGGCCACTGGATCAGTGTGCACTTGATTCTTTCATTCTCAACTCCCTTAAGAGTATACAACCCAAGCTATCTGCGACATTATCATCTCATCTTATGGGGTATCATTCACTGCTGTGAGCATCGATTCACACAATTGGGATACGATGACTTCCACAGGTGACACTGCAAACACGAAAACATCGTTTTTTCCGTACATGGACATTTGACGGAAAAACGACTAAAAATTCATTAAAATTGAATAATTGGTGAGCGTCCAGAAAGTGTCCGGAGTATTTTTCAAGCGTAAAATAGACGGAAAAACGATGCTTTTTGCCCCGCCTTGTACAAATGTTAACGACCAAAAACATAGCGCCGGTCCAATGATGCAGGTGATGCCCAAAGCTTTCTTTAGGAGGTAGGGGTGTCGTATTTCTGGCTACGGTGGCATGCCTTTCTGTAGTATCTGTCCCGCGCAGTGCAACGAGATCATCTCATAAGTCAGTTATAGGATATTAAAACCGTCATTGGACTTCAGACACGGGCCAAGAAGTCAAACAACATCATGCTATTAAGGTTAAAACATCACTTATCCCTACGCTGTGCACAGTTAACTCTATCGGACACTCGGTTGTGTATTATTTGGTTACAACAGTAAAGACTCATTTTAAGCTAGGGTATACATCTCGTTGGTTGGTTGGTTGGTTTGTTGTTTAACGCCGCACTCAGCAATATTTCAGCTATATGACGGCGGTCTGTAAAATAATCCGAGTCTGGATCAGACAATCCAGTGATTGACATCATGAGCATCGATCCACGCAATTGGGATCGATGACATATATCAACCATGTCAGCGAGCCTGACCACCCGATTCCGTTTGTCGCCTTTTACGACAAGCATAGTCGCCTTTTACGACAAGCATAGTCGCCTTTTACGGCAAGTATAGGTTGCTGAAGACCTATTCTACTCCGGAATCTTCAAGGGTCCGCAATGCCGTAATGTAACGTTTGAGGATGACTAAAATAAGGACAGGTGTTAATGCGACTGTACTGACTGGTCAGGAAGTCTTTCACTGGATGATGACAATTACAGCAGTTCACATACATCGTAGCTGGTTTTTCCACAACACTTTACGTTAAATCCAGTTGTAATAAGATGTTCAGTACTGAAACCTTAAGTAAAATGGCCGATTATGCCCCAGTTTACTAACCGTTATATTATGTACAGGATTGCCATGGTTGCACCCTTCATGTTGTCCTGTGTTGTCTAGTTTTAGTTCGTTATAACAGTAGTTCGTTAAAAGTATATATACAGCCTATGCACAGCAAATGAACAGGCCACAAAAACAGTTCGTTTTTAACGTGTTCGTTATAAACGTAGTTCACTGTATATCATAAACATTTGTCATGTTTTTGTTGGGGGTTTTGGCGTGTTTAACGCCGCACTCAGCAATATTACAGCTATGTGACTGGGTCTGTAAATAATCGAGTCTGGACTGGGCAATCCAGTGATTTACATCATGAACGTTGATCCATGCAATTGGGATCAATGTCATGCATCAACCAAGTCAGCGAGCCTGACCACCCGATCCCAATAGTCGCCTCTTACGACAAGCATAGTCGCTTTTTATGGCACGCATGGGTTGCTGAAGACCTATTCTACCCCGGATCTCCACGGGTCTCGTTCGGGAATAGATTTCACACATTTACAATGTAGTTATTTCGCTTCTCATCTGTTGTCAATTAGTGATGATATCAAGCGTTGCCCTACTTGTGGCAACCGCAACAAACACATGCAAAGGCAAGTCGTGTGTTTACTAGAAAATATAATACGGGAACAATTGGTACATCCCAAACAATGGAATTGTATCAGACATCAATTTGTCACTTTTGCCTAAACTTTGCAAATGCCCCATAGATATTAACAATAAAACGTTTAAAAGTTTCACTGATCCCTTAGATACTGTAACCCTGATCAAGCAGCTTTTGAGCAAGAGTTTGAAGGATGGAAGCGCTGGAATGATGCTCGACATGAAGGAATAATTCTTGCCATTCAGCCTTGTGGATATTGTATTGTCACTCTGATTTTTAATGCATTGATCTATAAATGAATCAGATGAGAATTTCACTGGTATCTTTTATTTCTAGCTCAGGTGGGTAATTCATATTCCTTCGCTATACCTATGCTTAAGTTAAATTTCTTTCCATGGTTTTGATTTTGCTATCAGAGCAGAAATTCTGAGTCGTGTGCATAAAGAAACAGATCAGCCAGGAGGGGAGCACAATCGGTGCCCATGAGGATTTCACTGTGAGGATTTGCCTTGGATTCGGATCATTTTTCAAATATACTGTCGTAAACCTGCAACCTTGATTAAAGCAGAGCTTAACTGAACTAAGAAACATATCCATTGCACCTTCAACAGGCCACAGTTCATTCTGCACTACCTTATTTCTTCTGAGTACTCTATTTATAACAAAGCCCCAATGTCTCCAAGTGGAGTGGTATGTGTTGTGTACATGTAGCTAGTTCAGCAGACTTTCACACCTCAAATCTCTTTACCACTGACTAAAGGTAATCTGTACCTGAGGTATTCTGGTTTTACTTTACATTCATTCAACCTTTTAGAATAAAGAATGAACAAATGTTTCTTTGTTGAGAACTTGTGCCATCATTTGGAGAAAGTGTCTATGTAATGATTTACTTGATTAGTTGCTGCAAATATGGCTAAGGACTGTGTTAACATGACTAGTGTCGATCATTGTATCACATTGTATCCTTACAGTGCTATGTTAGAATGGTGTTGTCTACAAACCATAGATCGTCATCAGAGTGAATCTGGGATTCGAACCCACGATCACATCCTGACACGGCTAATGGACGCATCAGCCATCTATGGTGCCTCAAACCACCAATATTCCCAATTTCCCTTTAAACATTGACAACACAACACAATATTGTACATTTCAAAATTTTATTAAAAATTTCCAATAAGTATGAATAAAGGCAACGTATTCACATATTTACAGTCGTGTTTTCTTAATCATTGTTCTCAATCAGGTTTATACTAACAGGGTGATATACAATCATCCAGGTGAGATGGAGGCACTGTACAGAAACATGTACATCGGAGGGTGTAAGGCCGCTTTAAGCAGTATATAAATCTATCTGAACATCAAGAAGGACGTCATGAATGTGGGGATCGAACCGTGGTCTTAGGCTTGGAGGAGAAACACTTTAACCACTTGGCAACACTTCCACCTCACGATTGTGTGAGCCTAAACATTACCATTGTAAAGTACACTGGGAATACACAAAACATGTAGAAATAATATAGTTTCCTCTGATTATGTAGGGAAGATGGTAGCATTTACGTGGTTAATAGCTCCTTACCGATATGTAGTTCGCTTTGGACAGCACGTTTCAGATCTTGCCCCACGTGCGGGCACGTGCGTTTGTCAGCAGCATGCCGATTTAGTGTTTTCAGTCGTGGGTCGTATGGTAAGAGCGCTCCGATTGGTTGGTGACAGACTGGATTAGCCAGTGGCTGCACCGTTTAGACGTGTTGACCCAGGGGTTACGTGTCCTTTCGAGTATATAAGAGATTAGCGCGAATGCTCTCATTGTCTTGCATGATCGGGAAGATCATTACAGGTGAAGGAGACCACACCAAATTACCCGTGTTTGGAGGTCGAACAATTCCCCAATCCCTAGTGGTTTTAGGCAATAAAGATCTAAATTATGTGGCAACTTTAGAATTCATGGGTAAATTGTTATAAAGGTGGATTTAACAAGGAAATAATGTAAGCCATGTGATGTAGCTACATTGACCGATTGTGTTCGGATGTCTGGAAGTGTGGTTTGTTTGTCCTCGAAGACTGTGTTAAGGGTGCTGTAGGGATTAAAGTGGGTTAGTGTGGGGTTTGTTTGGTTGCTTCAGGCTGTTTTTGAGTTTTATTTTTAAGGTATAAGTAAGTAGGATTTTCTGGCTTGACAATGTAGATTTTAGTTAGGAACAGGATTGACTGATTTGTAATTGTTGTTGAGTTCTTATTCATATTTTGTTACAGTTGGGTTTTTTCGTTTCGTTTATTTTTCTGTAATAAACTGTTGAAACTTGATTATATTTTGTTGTGACTCACCTCGCTACATCCAATGAACTGAGGTCGTAAAGGACAGACAGAGGGACCATAGACACCTTCTTTAGTATTTTAGGCATTAATATCTTCTTGATAAAAGAATCACAACGCAAAGTCATGGTGTCTTAAAGTGCCCAAAGCCTGTCCGTTACATTTTTGGTGCCGTGACCCGGATGTAATGGTATTGGTGATTTATACTGTAATTAATTAATTGAGATTAAATTAGGGATATTAGTTTAAAAAGGATAGTTTGTTAAAATGAATGCAAGTGAACAGGATTTTGACTTGTTCAACTTCAGTTTCTTGTCACCTCCCTCTGAAGATAGTTTTCATGGTCTTCCATCTAGACCAGGAGTATTTACTTCTACCCCTAGACCGAGTGGATTTACACCAGGGTCGCAAACATTGATAGATGTAGGGATGAATGCATCCAGTGCA